ATTATTAATTAATTATTATATTATTATTATTATTATTAATTATTATTATTATTATTATTATTATTATTATTATTATTATTATTATTATTATTATTATTATTATTATTATTATTATTATTATTAATTATTACTCGTGCATATTATGAGTCTATTGATTTAACTAATTATTATTGTTATTATTATTAATTATTATTACATACATATTATGAGTGTATTGGTTTAACAATTTATTAAATTTTTAATATTCTGATTTATCAATTTTTCTTCATCTTTGCTTTCATATTACACAAACTTTTTTGACTCACTGTAATGCTCTGGAATTCCAGATTCTTGCGCATCAGTTGTAGATATTTTCATTCAGTATACACAACAAAGAACGCAAAGCAGAGTTGGAAAAATGACGGTACGTGGCTGAAAAATCCTGTGATATTTGTTTATGATTATATCGTTTACTTGAAGAATTTCACAATCTAACTGTATCATTCACAGTGCTGAAAGGGTAGGTATTAGTGTGGGAATAATTTCTTTTCCCGGGTGTCTAAAATTTCCATAACAAAATTATGCCACTGTTCGGTATATTTCTCACACTGTGTGAACTACAAATCGGTGGATTATAGGATTTTCATTTTCGGCCTTTTTGTCTTTTGGAAAGAAGGACTGCAATTTACTAAAGTCTTCAACTTGTCACAATACCTTTAGATGGTCATCGATTAGTCAAACTCAAAAGTTGTTAATAAGACTGGGTTTAACTGGAGAGATAGTCTTCGCAGTGTTTTCTTAGTGAAAAACTGACCAAAGGTTGTTCAGATATTTCCGGAGGTGTCTTTTTATGGAAAGTATAATGAAACCTTTTTGGATGGCAAAAGAATGGTGTGGTTATTTTTTCATATAAATTTCGTAACTTTTTCTAAATCATTTTTTCTAAAGAAGTGAAATTACGACTTTTTTATAGGAACTCTGTTCATTGAATAAAGTTTAAAATATATTTATCTTGAACTTCCATCCGGGACAAATAATTTGAAATAATCACAGGCAATCTTGAGGGAAGCAAGGATCGAGCGGAGAATCTAAAGTAGTGATAATTCGAGAATAATTGACTGATTGGTTCTTAAATTTAAAAGGCTTGAAGTTTCGTTAATTCAGATAAATGTACCCAGATTTAGGGCTGACCTTTCCAACGTTGATTCTTTTTTCGGTGCTTAATTAAATGAAAGACAATAATGTTGTTGATAAATAGACATTGGCGCCTGATTCTTCCAACTTTTCAAAATTTTTACAGTAATTAGATTTAAGGGTGAAACAGATGACATTAAAAGTTATGTAATTTTTCAGGATTTCGCAGAAATTGATAAAGTGATAGATGACAACCCGAAACTAGCATATGAACAGCTGAAGGAAGTATGTGCCTTTGTTTCTGCATGCACTGCCCTGAAATGTTGTATACGTTAACATTTATTTGTTATAAGTTGTTAAACTGTTCGTTTTTTTTTTTCACAGATTTACGACAGCAACGAAGAAATGAAAACTGGTGTTAATTTGTTATGGCGATTGGGCAAAGCATGTTTCCTGTGGGCTAATACTCTGCAAAAGAAGGATCCGAAAAAAAAATTGCTCATTCTTGAAGGTTTCTTACATTCTGATTGAAGTTTTTGTATGATTCCTTTATTTGAGAGGCTCTATTCTCCTCATGATCAAGAAAATTTCTTCTGTGCCGAATTGCTTCGACTAGTTTTATATTACGTCTAATTGGTATTACATACCACCATTTCAAAGTATAGTGATCTGGTATTAATTGATTCATAATAATCATGTAAATAATGCTTATAACAGTCTCATTGCACTGATCTCTTTTTTACATTATGAATGCAGTGGTGTGGTGAAGGCCAAATGATGTTCTTCCATGATATACTTGTTGATAATACTTTTAACACTTTCTTGTCTATAAATCGTCCACTTGGAAATGGTCAAACATTTCAAACACTATTAAGAAACATGTGATATTGAAAGATGGAATGAAAATGAAATTAAAGATTACGGTTAAGTGAAATTTACACATTTATCCAGTACTTATTGTTTTCAATGTTCGCCATTTCCGATTGCTTGAGTGAATGGTTAATTTAATGTGCACAATTTCCATGTGGACAAGTAGCGATAGAGTTGTTCACTATTTGCAGGTCGAACTTATGCCAAATCAGCTTATACAAATGATGAAAATAGTGCTGAAGCACTCAGATGGGCAGCAATTTTGATCGGTTCTGCAACCAATTTCCTGGGACCCAAAGAAAAAATTGAGCAGGGCAAGATTTTCAAGGTTTCAGTTTGCTTAAGTGTTTGATTCAAATCAAACTTCATAATTGCCGAATTGAAGTTTGTGCTTAATAACATCGGAAGTGATATGTCACTTCGAAGTATTCATAAACTTTGTTGCATACTTCTACTCTGTATTGTACAGGGTTTCAAATGCATCAAAGTAATTAATCATTCTTTTGTGCTACAGTATTTTGAAGTTATTTCTTTATTTTTTTCAGTTGGATGAGAGTAGTAGGCTGGTATAAAAACGCATAGGTCTTTTGCAGTAAGAAGAAGGAGTTTGATTCAGCGCAATCCGCATTAATAAAAAACTTATGCCTTATTGTTGTTATTGATGGTGCTATCATTGGAACATGTTCAGGCATATTTGGATCGCGCAATAGAGATGCAATCGACTGAATATTCGTTGCTGCACTCACGTGGACGGTTTTCGTACGAAGTTGCCAATCTTTCATGGATCGAGAAACGATTATGTACTGCATTGTTTTCTGAAATTCCTCATGGTACTATCGATGAAGCTCTTAGCGATTTTTTGGAGGTTCGCTAAAAGCTTTGTAGAGGTCCCCTATACATTTTAATTCCGAATATTTAAAATTTAAATTTACGTGCTCTTATTTCCATTTGTTTTCTTAATTATCCTTCAGATTCGAAAAATCATTCCTCGAACTATCAGCATCGTATTATAGGCTGAAAAATATTCCCCATTCGTATGGCCGGAGAATTTGCTCTACATCGCACGATGTTATGCTGTAATGAAAAACAAAGAACTTGCCAAGAAATATTTGGAAAAAGTGGAAATGATTGAACGGCTGGATGAAGCTGAAGCGGAAGCACTAGTCGAAGTTAGAGCTGTAATTTCTAAATTAAAATAATACTCTATCACTTTTTTATACAGTTATATAGTCCTTGTCTTATTGTTGGTTAGTTTATATCTATTACTATGAAAGCTTGATTATAAGCATGGGATATCCAGGCATGGTCTTTGGTATTGGTGACGTAAAGATTATGCTTGGATTCCTAACTGCTTTAGAAGAAAAAGGTATATATATACGAATATACGAAGTACTGGGATTCGCTTTCTTCTAAAAGTGTTTAATGGCAAATTTAAAGTCATAAATATCCATGTATTCATTTAATTTATGCAAAAGTAACATTTAGAATAGTACTGTTTTTGAAAGAATGTGTTCAATATTATCAGCCATGTTTACTTTTCACATTTTATTCCCACTTTGTAATCAGCAAGACTCAGTTTTTTGTTCGTGGCATTTCAGTTTGTATATTCTTCATTTTCGTTCTTACCTTCCATTTGTTCTGTTTTTCCTCTCTCCGTTAATGGTGGATCCGGATGATTTTTATCATACTCTTGCCGATCATTTTATGTTTTCATTTTTTATGCGAAGTGGATTTAAAATAATGCGGAACAATAGTGGATATGGTTAACTGGAGGTAGTTTATTCAGTGTATCAACTGAAATTTTATTACCTATTTGATTTCTTAAGGCTTCAACTAGTGAACGAATAAAATGAACTCGTTTGCCGCGTTTTTGTGTATTTTTCTTCAAAATCTAAAATATTCGAAGATTTTTATAGTGAATTAATGTTTACTTCTTCAGGATGGGTAAAATCTAGTTGAATTTTATTTCCCATTCTGTTGGTTATAACAAGTCGGGTAATGTCTTCTATTTCTTTTCTATCGATATATCCTTATTTCTGGTCATGTATGCACTGTGTATGGTTATCGTCATACTCAGATTTCTTTTTTTCTCGTAGATATTGTAAAATTTTTTTCTCATTATACATTGTAGTTTCAATATGTTTATCTTATTTGTTGAAATGTAACAATTTCATGCAGCTTTCATTGAATTAGCAACATTTTAAATACTTTATGATAATGTGAATAGTTTAGTGACTGACATCTTTAAAGACAAAACTATACTATTCACATTATCATAAGGTACTGAGGCTTAGGCACATCCAGAAAACAAAGGTATCAGTTAAATTTTGAAAACAGCAAGCAGATATGATTCATCATCCCATGAATGAAAGTTTTTGCAATGGAATAATGAGTCGGACACTCGAATTTCGTTCCTACTCACTTCACAACCGGCAAATACAACTTTCATAGTTGTCTTCATTGATCCTTTCACCATCGTACCTCGGTGTAGTACATGAACATATCAGATATATTGTTATACAAACATCTCTGCAACATCAGAAAACAAAAGACAAAAACAAATATGTCTTTGGTATAGTTTATTCCGATTTCAAAGCACTCAACATTTTTTTTATCCCTGACATTTTTTAGCTTCATTTCGTCTAGCTGATTGAAGTTTCGAGTTGTGTGTTAAATACATCCTATCACTATCAGTAGTTGTCATGTGCGATCACTTCTGTGAGATGATTCCGAAGTTAGTGGATTATCAGCTTCAAGAATTTTCTTTAGGAGTTAACGAACTTCTTTCATTCTGAATGCGAAGACCAGATGATTCGATCCAAATTAGTGGAAATACAACAGTAGACAGGTAATAGACGACTGTATCTCCACATTGCAGGGATTAGTATTGGTTTTTCAATTATTGCTTTAGAATAAACTTCAGAAGGATTTCATATGGTAGCGGGTTAGGATGACTGTGGTCTTTGACATAGTAGTATTAAGGAGGACTAGCTTAATATCTATTCCTAGGAACCTGAAATTCCAAAACAGCAAGCATAAATATTTGTTTTTATCTCATTGGCATGCCAAATTGTCAAAATTAAACTTAAGGTCATGGTGTGGATGAAGTAAACGAGAAACAGAAGCTCATTTTGCAATGGAAGATGTGCAAATGTAGGATATTACACTTAACAGTTCAATATCCGGAAATTGTAAGATTTCTTCTGAGGAGAACAATAACATATAATGGGGGAATGGAAGTGAGGTCGTATTTCTGGAATGTTTGACAGCAAAATGATATTTGCTGTCAAAGCTTCTTGAAAATAAACTGTATGGCTTTTGCATGATTTATCTATCAATGGCGTCGATGTCAAAATCACCAGAATTGTCTAGTAGAACTGGATGTTTCATTGTAACTACATGAAATGTTCAGCATCAATGAAACTATCTAGATACTGAGGCTCAACATATCGCCTGTGATGAAACAAAAAAAAGAAAAAAACAGAAAGAATTTCCTGAGACGGTAGCAATTGGTAGAAATATAAACAAGTTGAAAAAGAAGTGGATCACTCAGAAAGAAATATTCATTTGCCGAAGTAATATTTACCACCAGTCGAAAAAACCTCAAATGAGTCCCATACATCAGGCATATTGTAAAATATCGATTACTGAGGACTAGACCGCATATATTATTGCTATTTGTTTATTTAGTAAAAGTGAGAAAAGGATCAATTGGAAAGTGCAAATAGCTGTAAAATAGGCTACTCAAAGAGGACAACCATGATCAATTTCACAGTAATTACATGGAACAAAAACAGATACGACGAAACTACAGTATTAGTGTCACAATAATATAATCGGATGATATAAATTAATTAGAGATACATGAATCTAACACGTGTGGCAAAATTCATCAACGGAATCAACTAACCCACGAGTATAAGAGGTATTAGGTCTTTTTTATATTGTATCTTTAAATAAAGTTTCTTTCCGCAAATCAAAGTTCCCATCATTCCCAAACTTTCTAGGAACGTATCCTTGAAAATATTGGTTGTTACATGCTGTTTGAAGATTCATTTTTAGAGTTAGTTAATGATGAAAAGTTGCTTCGAATGGGGAAATTTTTAAATAGATTTAGTAGGCATGTCCCAATAATCTTGATTATTGAGATCATCGGGTCGTTTAATGTTACAGACTTGAAGTAACATAGTGGCATGCTGAACAAACTGAACCGGTAGAAATTGATATTTAGTCTATCAGTTGGGCAGTCCTGAAATAAGAGTATGTAATTAGAAGCATGTAAACCCCTCGCGTACTTTCCTTAAAAATTTCCCATCAATTTCCATGTGTCCCATGAAACAAACGTTCGAAATGGAATGTCATCGCAAATGAGTGCGAATTGTGGCCAGATGAATCTGTAACTTTTAAGTCAACTTTAATGCATCACTTAATCAGTGACGATACATCGGAGGAATTCCCTTGAACCCGGCTTTTATAAAAAAATTGAGAGCACAACGAATATTGCCTAGCATATTTTTCAGAGTTTTTTCCGTCAGTTAATGGCTTCCGTCAAAATAAAACATACAACACCATCAACAACAATTTTTGCAGCTTAGAAAATTTTAGCAATATTATCGATTATTTGCGAATCTAAATTTGAGTATTTCAATCACAAAGTCAGCTCTGTTCATATGTTAAATTTGTTTCTTAATAATAATTTTGGTTTAGATTAAAGGAAATTGTCCTAAAAAAAAACTCAAACAAAAACTTTGCTTTATTGTAAGGAAGTGGGAAATGTTACCCAGTGGACTCGATATGGATTAAAATTTTTCTGATCCAACAATAGGAATCTTTAACAGTAGTTTAAAGAAAAGATACTGTGTAGATAATGGACCTTTCATCTGCCATAATTTTGACATCTCTCGGGCATTAGTAAGACTAGCAAGTGCAGCAAATGACAAAAAACAGTTCGTTTAAAAGTATTCTCAACACAACATACAATGTTTTGATCACGTTGAAGATTGTCTTCATGTTTACCAACAACAGTTAGATGTCACTTCTTTCATTTTGTCAAGCATCTTTTTGAATTCAGTAAGTTTCAGTTTCTCTCCCGTAACCACAGAAATTTTTGTTTTTCCTCCATTTTGACGACTTCTCTGTATATCCTAACAAACTTCATAAATACAAAACATAATGTTTTTGATACTTTAAAATGTTTTCCATAACACATTGGAATGCGAATCATTTCAAACATATCATCTGTTAATCATGCTTTTATGAGAAGCCAGTTACGTGTCAATGCCTTGAACTCAGTTCTTCGATATAGTTTCATTCGTATGCCGACGTAATGACAAAGAGATCTAGAGAATTATTTCCTCAGTGTTCAGCAATAAAACTGCGGGGTAAAGAGTCCTGAAACTCCCGAACTTTTTGAATTTGACAACGCATAAAAACATCTAATATTAAAAACAAATGAACTTAATGGTATAATATTTCAGGCAAGTCACAAATTGAAGGTGCAATAGTTCTTGCATACAGATGAAATTGTTCGTTTGTAATACTCCATATTTCGGAATAATAGAAATGATAAGATAGTCGAACAGTACAGAGTTACAAAAGGAAGAACCGGATATCCATCCGATAATGAGAGCATCAGAACATCAACCATAATTTCTGTCGAGAAGGTTATTCTATTTAATGGTTTTCAGCGATATGGATTTATTCGTGATGTAATATTATTCTTGCACAATATTACTAGTTGACAACGAAATATAAACAAAACCAAAAAAATTGTAATATATGAAGTAGGAGGTAAATTGGTAAGAAATGATAAGTTATAAAATGAATAAGTGATATGATAAATAACAATCTCCTTATCGTTGTTTTTCAATAATAATTTGATTGTTGGTTGGTTGACAATTTTATTTGAACAAACCTTTAATTTCGGCAATCCGAGAACTTCAGACAGGGACAAACGCTGAAGAAACAAGAGACACAAAATTATGATTAACTATTAAACGATGAAGAGAACGGTACAGGACTGAAACCAGCTGCTCGAAAAGTTTTGCAGCTCTCCTGAATAAGATTGAAACATCTCTATATCGGGTAAATGCATCGCCACATATCATTCGGAAAAGCAGCATTTGCTCATGGCCTTGCAATCGACGAGAGTGAAAAGACATAAGCAACTTTTCCAAGAAGAAAAATTGAGAGTTCGTTATTATCGAAACCTCCTTATAATCAAAGTTACCTTCCTTTAATATTTCAGGTTACCAGATTTTCCAGTGGTTGAGAATTTGCGGCTGCTGCAGAAAGGAAGCAGAATGTCATATCTTCAGGTAAATCGGGCTAATTAAGTTCCAGAAAAAAAGAAGGAAATGGAATCCGAAATGGTACGGTAAATGAGTCTAATTCGTTGACAGTTATCTAGCATTCACAAATGACAACAACTTATGACATATGTCTCTACCTTGGTTTTCAGTAAGAAATAAGCCAAAATTCAGAGGGCACGTGTTTACTTGTCAATTAAGTCAAGTTGTAAGCATATTGAACAATAAACATGTTAGTAAGTAATAAGAAACCATAAGAATTTTCATCACATTTTTGTGCTTCCAGTGGTTAACAACATTTTTACTCCCCAAGTAATGTTCAAGAATTATCACTGACTTCGGATGAAATCCCAAATTTGGCAGAAGCTGTCGTGATTTTTGTTGTGGTTAGTCAATGATCAGGAACAAGCAGAAACTTTAAGGAGTTGGCTTGTAGTAAGATTATTTGGCTTCGGTTATATCGTGTTGTAGTTGCACCAAATATTGTTGCGGAGTGAAGGGTTTGATAAGTTTCGCTGTGAGTTATAGGTACACGAGAAATTTTAACGAAGGCTTACCTTATCACGGTGAAAGCTCGTAAGCGCGTCAATTATGCCATGAAAATGATCCAGCAGAAAGGATTATTAACTTTTATTTATATAAAAGTGAGAATAAGACCAATTGAACAAGTAGCATTAAGGCCAAGAATATTGGAGTGGCGAGCAGCTTACTAGAGAACGGATATAACCGTCTAGTTGATCCAGCCGAAAGCAATTTTTTCTTTATCTTACAAAGAGCTGTATATATGTGTTAATGGAGTGAGAGTGGTTTACATAAAACGTTAAAAAAGAATGTTCATTTAGATACAATGGAAACTGTAAAGATCCAATTACATAAGCATTGTAGCAAGATCAGATGGGAAGGTTAGCATGTAAATTGGACATCCTTTGTCATTAAAATAAAGATGTGATTTCCGTTAGACAAAGGTAACAAAAGAAACGTATGGGTGATAATTTTTAAGAATGTAAATTGGTTAAATAATTCACCCTATTGTTAACATTCATTTACAGTTTGAATAAGGAATTTATTACTTATTTGGAATTCCGCGATATTGAAATTCGCGACAGAAGCCCCAGATTTCCACATCGTTTCTTTCACCATTTTAGTTTTTCTTTTTTTATCGTAACATTTGCATTAAAAAACGTAGAGAGCTGAGTTCAGCCAAAGGCACAAGTTTTTCTCCAATTTCGACCAAAACAAGACATGGACCAAAGTGTTTCATTGGCTCAATTGAGGCAGTGAAAACCAACAGAGGATTCAGATGTTCCCAGCCATTTGAGGCGAATATATCGCAAGATGTGACTATTTGATCCATCTAACAATGATGAAATATCGGAACAGTTTTCCTTATAAGTTTCCGGAAATAAGTAAATTCATTCGTCAAGAATTGCATGGTTTGTTGGGAAATTGTTTTTCTGTTGAACTCGTTTCTCGGCGATACAGATTTATTCGGGATGTAATATTTTTCTTGCACGATATTATTAGTTAACAACAAGAAAAAGGGTATAAAATATATATGTATATTACACGATGAATTGGTAAGCAATGATGAATGAGTTATACAAAAAGCAAATGATATGATCAATTAACAAACTCCTTGTCGTTGCCTTGGATAGTAATTTGACTGTCGGTTAGTTGATAGGTCGTTGAGTTGGGAATATGTTACAGGAAATGTATTTAGATAGAAGAATATCGTAGTTTGTTGTCCAATGGTGGCGGATATGGGAAGTTGTTGTCGTTTGTGATTCAGTCGTGGAGAATAAGCAAACGTCTGCTCGCTTGTAAAAAAAAAACTGTCTTTATGTATATAAGGATTAAAGAGGAGTTTTGTAAGCTCCATTGGGGCTGTCGTGAAGGTATGACTAGCCTTTGACATTGTCTATTGTGTAGATATTGAGACGTTTTGTTTTACACTGTCCATTGTTAGCTTATATCCTCTTCATTGTTTCAAATTTATTTACAAGATTTCGTCACCCTGTTTGTTGGATATTGTGGAAATTTTGCTTGAACGTAGCTTTAATTTCGGTAATTCACAGAAAATTTGCTTCTCATTCTATATGGCTTTTTTTTGAATATATTTTATTTTTCTCCATTTGTTCCTAAGACAAACTTCATAATTCTGTTACTCGTTAAAAAAAAATGAAAAAAGAAGGCTTGCTCAAAAAGCTGTAAAAAAATTG